AAAAACCCGGCGTGTTAAATGCGTACACCGAGGACGGCTTCCAAATGCCTTGAAATTTCGCCGACCCTCATAAATGCTCACTGCGGCCTCAAATTTCACCTTATTGCGAACTGAGGACGTCCTCGATGTACAATCCGACCTCGATTTGTGACTGTGTTAATACATAGAAGAGCTCCGTCTGCACCTTTCACAAGTACTCCAAGATGCTTATATAGAATGTGTCGCACCAGTTGTGCTAGATGAATCCTCTCTCACTAATCTAAGGTTCAAGTTTTCACTTTTACTTCAGATTCCACGCGCTCTTGGGATAACATTCACAATGTGTTCCACAACACGGTAGCTTTCTTTTCTCTCCAGTAAGAGTCATGGGGGGAAATTGGACTCAGTGGGATATCTTGAGCCTTGTTAATACCGGGCTCAAGTGTATGATTGTTCTGTTCAGCAAAGGTTAATGTCTACATGTTGAATTTTTTGTTATGTCCACAGCACTGATGCCTGACTGTAGTGTGACATGACTCGTCTACCTCTCTGCCTGCAGTAGTAGTAAATGTCCTGATGCTGACACCATACGGCACCTGTTGGAATCACAACACATCACTGAAATGCACTCTGCAAGTTGAGGGTAACAGCTAAGGTGAGAAGTTTCACTTTTACTTTGGCGTAAGTGGGTTTAACTTTGCTGGCGGGGGGGGCACTTTGGATGCCCACATTTTCCAGAGGAGAACATTCAGTGGGGTGTGGTCATACTTAACACTGACTAAGACCAAGATGGACCATTACGCACCCCTTTTTTTCTTTTTTTGAAATCTTGGGGGGGGGGCTTGTAGTGCCCCTGTTCTTGGTATCTAATTTACTTTGCTATTCCATTCACCTGAAGTATATGAAGTGGCCTGTGGGTTGTCAAAAGACCCTTCTGCACCAACCCTAGCTTGCTTTCTTCTCAAGCACTCTACTGGGGACTGAGAGCAACAATGAGTCTTGAGTCAGGGAATATCAGATTCTTGGATGTCAACCTCTGCTCTGTCTGTCTTTAACCAAAGTCTTCATTCCAACTTGTCCTAAGTGTACCCACCTTAGCCTAGCTTTTAACCATTAGGAAGTTAGACATGTATTTCATATCTTAAACTGGTTGTCAAAGTTGATTGAGAGTGTAAAACGGGTTGGCAAAGTTTATACATGTTGACCTCATCAGTTAAAGCAGAAGATAAGCTCGATCTTTCATGGTGAAGTTGTATTTAAATATTACTGGCACATTTTATCCAGTTGTTTAAACAGCAACATGCTGTATTCCACATTCGTCTTCCGAGGCTGGACTGGGGTTCACTGTCGTTGCCTTTGGTGGTTGCGTTTTCTTATTTCAAGTTATCATGAATCTCTGACTAGAAAAAGTGATCATCTACAATAAACTCCAGCTAAGTCGGCACTCTCGGACTCAAGAAATTATGACAACTTACGCAAATGCCGGCTTGTGTTGAAAGTTGTCATTTTGCCGACTTGCACGTACGCATGTATTGCCTATGTACATCATGATTCCTTGCATGAATTCAATGGCTTTGATTTACGTACATGTACCCTGGTTTATTTCTACCTCCATGGTTGATCCCAGCAAATTCGTTCTCGATTATTATCCTGAAAATTCAATAATTGATCATGTGCTCCTAAGGACGAAGCAAGGACAGCAAGCCACTTGCATTTCACATCACGACATCATCATCTGAACAACATGAACCATTAGGAGGATGTGAGCCTCAAACCATCTAGGATTGAGTGACCAATCCTAGTTTTAGTAAACTGTTTGCATTGCCACTTTGTTCGGGCTCCAGAGTCTTTAGTCTGAGGTATGGGCAGAAAGACTCGAGCGTAGACACCAGAGTCTAGCAAGCAACCCTATTCCTTGGGGGTGGGTGGGTGGGATTTTAAAGAGACACGTTCCTCCCCAGGCTTCATGCATTTCTATACAAGAAACCCCTACCTTGTTGAACCATGCTCCCACTTATTGCTCCCTTTACAGCAACCTGATTTTATACTGATGGCCTCTTGCGCCCTCACGCTCGCAGCGATGCAAATAGTAAACTATTTGCGTCACTGCTTTGTTTGGGCTCCAGAGTCTTTAGTCTGAGGTATGGGCTGAAAGGTTCTTCGCTCCAACTTTTAAATTCCCTCAGTCTTCCTTCCATTTACTCCTTTAAAGCGCGGGTATAACCCTCTTTCCCACCCAGGATCCCCTATGTCTCACCCATCACTCACTCATCCCCGTCTCACCCTGCACGACTTATTTGTCAAACGCAATTTCTTTCTATTTCGAAGGGCTCATTTCCCCTTTTATTCTGCTCCCATCAATTGGCTAGCTACTCTAAGCATGCTTTCACAGCAAACGGGGCTCATTCCCCTTTTATCCTGCTCCTGTCTGTCATAAGGTAAGCCGCTCTTTGCCTTCTTTGATGTAGCCAAGGAACAAATGCTTGAACTGCACATAGTTTTTGTATATACGCCCTGAATGGCACTAAGGCCAGTGGCCAGCAATGTGGCTTTTACTAAGGCCTGACTAAGATTCACCTTCCAAAAGTAATTTATCAACATGATGTTCAGATGTCGCTGCTTTGTCTTATTTTCATGATATCAAATTTTTGCCAATTTTTGCCTGTCCTTATCACGTACCTTCAAAGTAATAGAGTCAGAGATTCACAAGAGAAGCCAACATTTAGAGGGCATGTCCTGTTTTGCCGAGCTTTTCTATGCTTCAGTCTTTCATTTCGCAAGTCCATCTTAGCTTTGCTTTATGACAGCCAAGGGGCTTATTCCCCTTTCAACCAGTACCTTCAAAGTAAAGGAGTCAGAGATTTGGAAGAGAAGCCAACATTTTAGAGGGCATTTCCCAGTTTTGCTGGGATTTCCCCTGACTTTTCCCTGCTCCAGCCTTTCCTTTTCCATTGTAGCCAAGGGACTCATTTCCCTTTTCCCCAGGCTTCTGGCTTTTCCGCGGAGCCAAGCTTTGTTTGCTCTCCCTCTTGGGCTAATGGGGGCTCACTCACTCCTCACCTGCTCCTGCCTTTTCGCTGAGCCAATCTTTGATTACTGTCATAGCCAGAGGGCTCAGTTGGCCCAGTTAAAACCTAGGTGCTTTGAATTTTGGGGGGAGTCCAGCAGTTGGGTTCGGTGTGGTAACATCTTGTGGAGGGCAAGGCTCTCACCATGCCTGGGTTTGGAGAGATTTTCATGTAAGTTGATTGGTTTTAATTGCCTCTGGTTAATTTGTTTTATTTCTTTACCAGTCACCAAGTCCTGTTTGCATTTCACAACTTGTTGTGAACCGCTCTAAATCCAGCCAATAATTGTAGGAAAGGCAGTTGAGAATTTTGGTGATTTTCTAAATAAAACTTGATTGTTAATGGCTGGCAAAGTCTCGTTTTAGTGTCTTTTCTCATTTGCTGTTGCCCACCCACGCTACATTTGGCGGCAGCGGTGGGATTGGTTGTTACAAAACTATACACTAACTGCCAATCTAGTGATGTGAACCTGAGACAGTTTGGGTTGATATTGGATGGTTGCCTGGACATTGTACCACCTTGTCATCACCTGGGGTGTTGCGGGCCTGAAAATGTACCGGTGGAGCTCGGGCTTTTAAATTGCAAGGGAAAGGGCCTGGCTTGCAGGACCACTGTGGCACTTTTGTGTTTGGGGTATCATCCACACTATGAATTTCAGCACCATGAATTTGCAGTTAATTTGTAGTTTCACTGTGAAATTGTTTTTTCACTGCAACTTCATGGCAGTTCACATTGTGAAAACACCGTGAAAATAATCCCGGATGTGACCCCTTGCCGACACCTTGAGGTCAAGTGAAAACACCGTGAAAATGCAGTGAGCCCATCTAGGGGGCCTTCCTCATTAACTTTGCGGCGGGGCTAATCCTAT